CCTCCTCGTGTCCCTGGCACGCACCGGATGTCTCTGCGTCCGTCCACTGCTCCTCTGCATGCCCCTTTGCCTTCTCCTCCTGCTTCCTCTCTTCCTGCTCTTGCCGACCCGGAGTCGGACTCTCTTCGTGCTGCCAGTCCTACTGTCACGCGTCTCCTTGCTACAGCTGTCACTGACCCTTCTTTCGAGTCTTCTGCTGCGTCTGCCCTTGTCACTGAGCTCGTCGACTTTGCTGCGCGCTGTCGCCTAGACTACGCTGCTAGTCTTGTTGCTGAGTCTGAGTCTGCCTGTCCTCCGTCCGTCGGGGGTGAGTGTGCCCTTGGCACGGACGTCCTTGAGGACAGGCAGGAGGAGTTCCAGTGTCTGGCCGCCGCTTCACCTCATCTCGCGTCTGTACTGCTAGCCCCTGAGGGAGACCCGGATGCACTAGACATCCCGACTCCGCGCTCTTACGCGGAGGCGATAGAGGGTCCCTACTCCTCTCAGTGGCAGGCAGCTATGGATGCAGAGATGGCTTCCTGGAAGTCCACAGGCACCTACGTCGACGCTGTTCCCCCTCCTGGGGCGAACATCGTCAGTGGCATGTGGATTTTCAGGGTGAAGCGGCCGCCGGGTTCTCCGCCTGTCTTCAAGGCGCGTTACGTGGCTCGTGGCTTTAGTCAGCGGCAGGGGGTTGACTACTTTCAGACCTTCTCCCCCACCCCGAAGATGACCACTCTTCGGGTACTGCTGCACGTTGCTGCTCACCGTGACTACGAGCTGCACTCTCTCGACTTCAGCACAGCTTTCTTGCAGGGCAGCCTGCACGAGGAGATCTGGCTGCGTCGCCCACCTGGCTTCACTGGGTCTTTCCCTCCTGGTACCCAGTGGAGTCTCCGGCGTCCAGTCTACGGTCTCCGCCAGGCGCCACGTGAGTGGCACGACACACTGAGGACTACGCTTGCGGCACTTGGGTTTGCTCCTTCTACTGCCGACCCGTCGCTGTTTCTGCGCACCGACACCTCTCTGCCGCCGTTCTACATCCTCGTGTACGTCGACGACTTGGTCTTTGCCACAGCGAACACTGCTGGACTCGCTTACGTGAAGTCCGAGCTGCAGAAGAGACACACGTGCACTGACCTGGGTGAACTGCGCAGCTACCTTGGCTTGCAGATCACCCGGGACAGAGCACGCCGCACCATTACCCTGACTCAGTCACACATGGTGCAGCAGGTCCTTCAGCGCTTCGGCTTTACGTACTCCTCGCCTCAGGCCACTCCTCTACCTACTCGCCACTCACTCTCAGCTCTGCCTTGGGATGAGTCCGTAGAGTTGAGTGGCCCGTATGCAGAGCTTGTTGGCTGCCTCATGTACCTGATGACCTGCACACGACCTGACCTTGCATACCCTCTCAGCATTCTCGCACGCTATGTTGCTCCTGGGAGACACCGACCCGAGCACATGGCTGCAGCGAAGAGGGTGTTGCGCTACTTGTGCAGTACGTCGGGCATGGGGCTAGTGCTTGGAGGGCGTAGTCCAGTGGTCCTCACTGGGCACGCGGACGCTTCTTGGGCTGACGACCAGGCTACACAGCGGTCGTCACAGGGTTACACCTTCAGCCTTGGTTCCGGCTCTGTCTCGTGGCGGGCTACTCGCTCGTCTTCTGTTCTCGGCTCCAGTTGTGAGGCTGAGATCTACGCCGGGGCTATGGCTGCTCAGGAGCTTCGCTGGCTCACCTACTTGCTGACCGACCTTGGAGAGCCGCCTCGTTCTCCTCCAGTCCTGTACGTAGACAACAAGGCCATGCTGGCCTTGTGTCGAGAGCAGCGACTGGAGCACAGGACAAAGCACATTGCTCTCCGCTACTTTCTTGCTCGTGAGCTGCAGCAGCGTGGACAGTTGCGACTTGCGTACGTGGCCTCTGAGGCCAACACTGCTGATGTCTTCACCAAGGCACTTGCGCCTTGTGATCATCAGCGTTGCTGCACGCAGCTGGGTCTTGTGCCTGTCTTGTCTCACTTGCTCACTTCTTGACCTTGCTTGTACCTTGACCTATATATACTCTTGCTCTTGCTTGCTTGATTCTTGTATATCTCTATATATAATCTTGCATGCGAACTGGCCTTGTGGCCCTTGACCTTGTGGTCGGAATGTGTGGTGACTTTGTGATCCACCCTGAGCTTTGCTTTGCTTTGCTTGACTGGTCTTGTGACCCCTTGTTCTCCCCCACTTTGCCTATGGGGGTGTGTAAGAACATTATAGCTTACTTGTTTGTGTAGGCTATAGTGGGGTATCCCATAGGGGGTACAACCCAATTAGGGTTTCCTATTTGTACTCACCTTGTTCGTAGTCAATTCATTTTTTTCACGTTTCTATTTTCACAGTAACACCCAAAACTAAACTCCCTAAGCTCGAAGTTGCACCTGCATGCCCCACGCCCTGTTGATGCCCGTCTGTTTGAGCCCTTCTTATAGCAGTTTGTGTGAGTTGGCGCCACCACTCCAAGGCCGGGCCCCTCAGTAGCGTAACAGAGTACTCGATCCGCTACTGCACGTCCACCTCTTGCACCCGCTTGCGGCGAAGTAGTTGTTCAGCATGAAGAGCCACGTCCGCACGTTCGCGTCGCGTTGACTTGGGTCGAACGACTCGGGTTTCTGCGGCTTGAGCGCGCTTCGACGTTCCGGCAGCGCTTCCGCGCCAGTCGACGTGTTGGGCGCAAGAGTTGGTGCGGCATGACCATGGGGGCTAGAAGCCAATTCACGAAGCTGTTGCATTTCAGCTCGTACCTGACGATTTTCCAACGTTAACTCTTGAAGTTGGCGCATGAGCTCGGCAAGCGTGTTGCCCATGTCGTGGGGGAGAGCGTGCATGGTTTCGTCCATGTTCGCTCGACGACTCCAAGTCTGCAAATCGGCACCGTGGGACGATGATGTCGTAGTCTTGTCGTCGATGGTCGCTCGTTGGAAGTCACTCCCTGCGAAGGATCTGATACCAAGTGTTAGGCCCGACGGCCTAAGTCCGCTAAAGAATTAGCGAGTTCGACTAAGTCGAGGATGAAATGCGGCGGAAGACTTTGGTGAAAGAACTATTGGCGAAATAGGCGAGGAAATTACTGAGTAATTGAAGAAGAGTTGAATGAGAATTGGTTGATAATGGCAAGTACAAGCAAGGCTGATATAGCATGCAAGATCGAATGCTGGAAAGTACTTCGTGGGACTAGGAATTGAAGGCAAGAAAGGTAGAGTGCCACGTGGCACTAGGAAATCAAGGAAGATAAGGATAAGGGTGAGTTGGAAAGTACTGTTCGGAATGAACAATAAATCCCCCCTTAACACCGTCACTATTTTTAATGTGAAAGAACACTTTTTGGCTAGTCCCGTGGGGAGTCCCCACCCATGAGCTATGACAGACACCACCTCGTATTGCCATAGCAGCAGCAACCTAAACTCTAGACTCTGCAACTAGCATGAATGACCTTCTAGCCTATGAATCGACGATCGTGTCGCCTTTTCACATTCTGATATTGCTCCGCAACACGCGGCGGTAATCTCTATGTGGCGCTGAGTTTCTCGCATGTCATGCTTACTAGCTAGCGTGGGGGTTGACGTCGCTGGATTCTGCAAACCAGCATTGTTTCGCAAGACGTGGCAATCACCAGCGTTGTTTTAGTTAACCGGACCAAGCATTACGATTTACAATCTTAGCCTCCTCGTTCTGTTGACGAGAGAGGCCTTCACCCCGCAATTGCCACGATAGCGGCTTGTTACGATGGTGTTTTACTTCAAGGTGCAGCTTGACCCGCCCGCCCCGAAGCGGGCGACTTCACCATCTACATGGGACTCGACAAGTTCGAGAATGCGCAGCTCATTAAATACGGCTTCCCGGAAGACATTTGGTGCATCTAATCTGCCTAAAACGAAGATTGCTGTCCTAGGAAAGTTGGAGGGGATCGCGATAAGGCATCCTGTCAAATGTGCGTTTGCATTGTTGAGGGGACGTATGGTGCGTAGCGAAGAGGCTTTTAAAGGGTTTTTTATGTTTCAAGGTTGACGAGCTGCTGCATCAAAGCCAATCATAAGTATTCATGGATGTGAGTAAGTTCAGAATCCAAGCAGCTAGTCAGATACGCCCTTCCGGAAGACATCTGGTGCGTATCGAAGATGTTTATAGCGTAATCTATGATGGCTATCCGAAAGTGCTCCAGCCGCCAAGATGCCTCAAGAACGAGAGGCTAGCAGCATCTCCGGTAGGGTTCGGTAGGGTTTGCAATGGTTGGGGGGTGAAGGGAAATCAGGTGAGTGTGTGGGGGCAGTGGAGGAGAAGAGGGGGGGTAGAAGGGGGAAATGGGGGAGTGAAGTGTGGGCTGTTGAGGGGAGAAAGAGGAGAGTGGTGGCGGGAATGGAGTGTGGGGATACGTTTTTCCACATGTCCCGCAGTCATTTGTACACGTGTACGTTTGTGATGCTCTGGCTGCCCAACATCTGCACTTATCAGTGAATGTCTTGCCTCCACACGTCTCTCCTCTCCTATACAACCTTTTGAAGATTCCACGTGGACAAGATCTTCTCTGTACACATGGACAAGATCTTCTCTGTACACGTGGACAAGATCTTCTCTGTACACGTGGACAAGATCTTCTCTGTACCCGTGGCCCCCCTTTTCCCCTCCCCTCTCGTCCGCGCCTTCCCCACTTCCCTTCCTTCCCCGCCCTATCCCCCTTTTTTTCCTTCTCCTCTCCTCCCCTCCTCTCCCACTTCCCTTCCTCCCCTGCCCTGTCTCTCCCCGCTCCCTCCCTCTATGTGAAGGTTCCACGTGGGTGGGCTCTCGTCTGATCACGTGCACACAAGCTTTCGTCCCCTTCTCCTTCCTCTCCCCACCCCACCACTCCAACCACACTCATTTCCCGCCCTCCTCCTCCCTCTTTATGCAAAGGTTCCACGTGACAAGCTGTCATCGCCTTCCCCTTCCCCCCTCCCCACCCCTCAGCCTCATTTTCCGCCAGCGCAAGGGGCAAGTCATTGATGACCACCACTCCAACCACCCTCATTTCCCGCCCTTCTCCTCCCCTTCTTAATGTGAAGGTTCCCACAGGGACAAGCTCTCGTCCCCTTCCCCTTCCAGCCACACCAACCACACTCCCCACCACTCCTCCCACACGCATTTCCCGCCCTACTCCTCCCTCTTTGTATGAAGGTACCACGTGGACAAGCTCTCGTCTGCACTTTCCTCCCTTTTCCCTTTCCCTTCCCCTTTCCCTTTCCAACCTCTTTGTATGAAGGTTCCACGTGGACAAGCTCTCATCCGCACACGGGGCAGGGCATTGATGACGTCACACCTGAGATGCTGGAGGACTGTGCGCAGCTGGTCAAGGCCAACTCCATCATGGGTGGGTGTAGAGCGGTTGGAAGTGGTTGGGGGGGGGTGTGAGTTGACGGGTGGATTTCTGAGGGAGGGGTTGGGAGGAAGCGGTTTCTAGTGGTTGGGGGGAGTTGGGGTGGGTGGACACGCAGGGCAACTGGTGAAGGTCAATTCCGTCATGCATGGCTGAGTTGAGATTTGATCCTGGTGGTTGGGCTGGGTTGGGAGTGGTGAAAGGGCAAAGGGATGTATACCATCCCTTTTCCTCCCCCCCCCCCCCCTCTCCCACCACACCTCACCTGCAGCCAACAAGCTGAACAATATCGACGTGGTGTACACTCCCTGGGCCAATCTCTAGATGGCTTCATGGATGTATCTCCTTCCCCTTCCCCTCCACCTCCCACCCACCCACCCACCCACTTCCCCCCCCCCCCCCCCCCCCCCACCGCACCTGCAGGCAACAAGCTGAACAACATCGACGTGGTGTACACTCCCTTGGCCAACCTCTGTAGAGTGTGCACATGGTCTAAACCCTGGTTATTGTCTCTCCCCCTTTCCCTCCCCCTCCCCCTCACCCCCCCCTTCCCCTCCTCACCGCACCTGCAGGCAACAAGCTGAGCAACATCGATGAGGTCTACACGCCTTGGGCCAATCTCCACGTGCCTTCATGGATGTATCTCCCTCCCCCTTCCCTCTGTTGAGATACTAGGAAGGCTTAGGAGCCATAGCTAGTGGGTCGAGTAGTTGAGTTCGAGTGAGTTTGGGTGAGTCGAGAAGATTGCAACAAAAGAGTGGTTTCACTATAGAGCGAGCAGTACAAATAGGCAAGAATGAAGAAAGGTGCACCACCAAACAGAAAGTTAGATGACTACAGTAGTCTACACTACAGGCAGTTACAAAACAATATATAGAATTATATATTATTCTGACACCCTCCCCCCCCCACCACCGCACCGGCAGGCGACAAGCTGGACAACATCGACGTCGTCTGCACGCCCTGGGCCAACCTGCGAAAGGCAGCTTCCATAGACGTTGGTTAGGTGCGGTGCGGTGAGGCCAGGTGAGGCCATGGGAGGCCATGGGAGGCCAGGGGAGGACATGGGAGGCCAGGTAGGTCAGGTGAGGCCAGGGGAGGCCAGGGGAGGCCAAGTGAGGTGTGGGCCGGATGAGATTTGGAAAAGAGTGGCAATGAGGAACGTTGACGTGGTGTACACGCCCTGGGCCAACCTTCGAAAGGCAGCTTCCATGGACGTTGGACAGGTGAGACGCAGGGCAGCAGGTGGGCCATGGGGCAGGTGAGGCGTGGGGCAGGTAAAGTCTGGGCGCGAATCAAGTTGCAATGCTCTCTAACTGCAGACTCTAACCCACCCGAAACTAGAAGCCTCAACCCTCTCCAATTTCTTACTCTGACACGACTGTAAACCAAAATATTTGGTTTCCACAACAACCGACTTTTGAGTCCACTCAAAAGACACCTCGGCCCTCTCCAAATAATATTTTGGACCCGACTGTAAACCATGAGAATAATTTCCACAACCCCAAGGCGGAACAAAGCATGCGATTCGAGAGAAGTGAGATGGTGCTGGTGATTTGTGAAACTAATAACACCAGTTGCTGCACCTCATCCCCCATATAAACATGACTTGCTGGCAGATTGGGTTCCACAACCCCAAGGCCGTGCGGAGTGTGCGGGTGGAGAATCGGCTCAATGAGGTGGTGGTAGTACGAAAGTAGCGACACCAATGGCTACACCTCATCCCCCATATAAGCATGGTGTGGTGAACCGGCTGAACAAGACCAAGGTCGAGAAGACGCCTGATCTGCAAGGTGTGTGAATTGAAGTGGATGTAGAGGGGTTTGAAGTGGTTATACAGGGGTTCAACTGGTCTTCATTGAGTTGGAAACCAGCTGAACAAGACCAAGCTGGAGAAGGCGCCCGACCTGCAAGGTTGGTGAATTGAAGTGGGTGTAGAGCGGTTGAATCGGCTGTAAAGGGGTTAAATTGGTTTCCATGTGAACTGGCTGAATAAGACCAAGGTGGTTTAGACGCCCTCCTGGCTTGCATCTGGAAGCCCCTCCAGATGTGCATGAGCTAATTTGCAGTCACCTCTTCCCAGTTACCAAACTTAGGAGGACGGAATATGCAAAACCAGCATGCTTAATCAAATCCCAGTAATTTTATTGCCCTCTTTGTCATGCGATATTTGCTCCACTGGTGGCTTGGGGCTCTCCTCGCTGTGCGTGCACCCGAGAAGGAAGCTCGGGAGGTGGAGGACCGAGCAGCAAGGAAGGCAGTCCTGAGGGAACAGGTGAGAGCAGATACTACTTGGTTGTTTGTGTAGCGTTTTATGCAACATTTCTGTACCATCAGTCAATGCTTACTCACATTTAGTATGAGCATGGTGGTGCCCGCGATTTTTTTACTCCCATTTTTTTAATAATCTTTTCTTGTGTTTGTTCCTTTATCAGGCTAGACGGGAGCAGGAGGAGAAGGCTCTGAGCAGCGGCAGGTGGAGTTACGGAGTTAACAAGGGCATAATGGTGGAGAAGAAAATGACGCCAAATAAAGATACTGCCGCCAAGATGGAAAGGAAAAGCGTACAGGACGTATCGGATGATTTTATGTGATACCTAATGTGTGTGACTCCATACATGTATGTATTCCATGACTCAATAGCGTCATACAACAGTATATATGCTTACTTTATTTCTTGTATTGAATATGTTGACTACAAAAGTTGTAGGCCAGTCAATACAGCGAAGCATGCTCAAATGAGTTGTTTGCTTCCAGCCAGAAAATACCTGAATTCAACACCTGAATTTCCTGTGGCGCATTGAAACGCTTGGACATTGCCGGGAGGCGCACATTGAAAGCTGGAGCCGCAGCAAGCCCGACGTTCACGGTTACGTGAGTCCGGCACGGCTTCAAGTCGAGAGTTGTTCTCCGCGATTTTGTTCGTTTGAGTGAGTTCCAAAGTGGTCCCACGCAGAAAACGTTCGAGGGCAGTGGCGTGTAGCTTCCGAGTCGGAGCCGCGTTCTGAAGCAACTGAAGCTGGGCTGAGAGAACACGGCAATAATTGTGGCATTCAGCTGAGCAGCACTGACGTCTCACAGACAGCGACTCCCCTGCCTGCGTTGCCTTCGCAAATATCTCGCCATAAATCTGCAGGCAAATAAATGCTGTAACTTGAATCCGCACTTCGTGCAAGCAATTCTATCTCGACAGTTTCCAGCTCTGGTTTGCACCAAAAACTCACGTCCGCACTTCGCCGAGTCTAGATTGACGGTTAAACCACTCCATACATAGAAACAATCCTCTCCCTCCCATCCCTGGGCTCGTACTTTTCGTTGTCATTAGCGAAAAATAATGTCGACATTCACGGGTAGAGTTCTACTGCTGCTTGCTCTTCTCACCGTCGTCTCCCTCTCGCCACTTCCCATCGCAACCGCCGGTGCACCGAGGCGCGTCGCCCGCACGCGTCAGGCGCACGCAGAGCTCTGCCGACAGCGCCGGCTAACCGACATCGTCGAGCGCGACGGCGGCCGGCCGCCGATTCACCTGTTCGAAACGAAGGCCCACTTTGAAAAAGAGCGTGCAAGCGGCGAAAGCGGCGGCGGTGCCGCTCCGATGAAGTACTGGGGAGGGCCCGTCATGGTCGGGAACCCATCCGTGAATGTATACATTATCTATTACGGCAATTGGCCGTCGGGATCAGGGCAGAATGTGATTGAAAATTTCATCCGGTCGCTGAGCAGGGACTCTCACCGGCAGGGGGACCCGTCGGAGCCGAAAGTGAAATACTGGTGGATGATCAATGAGCCGTATTTCCAGAAAAAGGACGGCGGGAAAAGAAACGTCAGCAGAAAGGTACGCCCGTAAGAACTGAGGCGACTTTTGAGGCGCCTCAAAAAGGGGAACCGTCGGAGCCGAAAGTGAAATACTGGCGGATGATCAACGAGCCGTATTTTCAGAAAACGGACGGTGGGAAGAGGAACGTCAGCAGAAAGGTACGCCCCTATTGCATGGCGATCCATTGGAGTGGAAATCGGCGCTATCCATACACGAACCAAGCGCGCCGCAGCTCTCGCCGTGTGGCGTCATCCCGAAAGAGTTGGAGCTTTTGCGGTCGCCGTTTCCCGAATGAGTCAGTGGACCTTGCGGTCGCCGTTTCAGATTTGCGAACGAGACAGATTACTTTTGCTTGTTATCTCAACGGCCACCAACTGTTTCTCAATGCTTCGATTGCGCATTCCGAATTTCCACACACGCAGGTGCGACTCTCGGGGACTGTCAACGACAACTACTCCGCCGGCAAGCAATTTGGCGAAAACACAGTCTGGCAAGGTACGCAGCCATCTAGGCTTCAAGCCGCGCGTCGCTGGGTTGAGCTGTGAAGTCTTAGTCTCAGAACTACAGCATATATCGCTTGCCCGTACGAAGCTGCATATGCTGTGAATCCGTAGTCGCAGCAATGAAGGTAATGCTGCATCTAGGTCTAACCACGTGCTTTTCTCTTTCCTTCGCAGTTGTTTCAAGCAAGATTGGCTCCGGAAAGGCATTCGCGTATGATCCCCACGGTATCTACTTACTTTTGACAAGCAAGGATGTTATGGTCCCCGGTTACTGTAGCGATTATTGTGGATATCACACCATGGACTATATCGGATCGAATGGAGTTGTGTATTCGTTCGTGGGTCATCACGGGCAGTGCGCGGACGGATGTGGGGGGCAGAGCACGTCGCCCAACGGGAGACCTGCGATTGATGCGACGGTTTCGACCATCGCGCACGAAGTCGCAGAGGCAGCGACGGATCCTGATGCTGAGTATGGATGGTTCGACGCAGCAGGAGAGGAGAATGCGGACAAGTGCTCTTACGAGGTCGGGGCGACGAAAAAGGGTCGCGACAACCGTGGTAACACGTACGAGTACAATCTCGTCGGAATGAAGGGCATGCGGTTTCTGATCCAGCAGGATTGGGACAGACTGAAGAACAAATGCGTGTCGCAGAGGAGAGATTCTTGAGATGCTGGCGCAGAGTGCAGTCCAGAATCCAGATCAATGCTGGCGAAAGTCGAATAAGTGGTGCTGCAGTGCCCGCGCGTGGCGCTGTGGGATCTTCTGCGCCCTTTGGAGTGGCGAAAGCTGAAAAGAGGACGTCGCCAGGTTCAAATTTGCAATGTACGATACTTCGTGGGCACAATAGACCATGTGCTATAGACCGCGTTTTTCTTGGAAGTAGGTGCATAGTCACCACTTCATGTAATTTCCTATCACCTGGATGTCATGTATTGGTCCCTCGTGGGTGTGGCTCCCTTGAAGCTCGTGGACCCTCATTATATTAGGTGTGGCTGTGGCTGTCAGATTGAACAATGGGAGAAGCGCAGGAGGGGAGGGGGAGTTAGGCGGATGTGTGTTGAAGAGGATGACATGTGTCAGGGCCCAAGTTGAGGTGCGTGTTGTGCCATCCCGTGCTGTGCGTAGCCCCCATCCTTCCCCCACCTCCCTCTGCAAGAACCTTACTTCAATATAAGCATTTATTGCTATGAAACAAGATATGGCTGAACATGACCCCCGTTCAGTAAGGGTAGGGGGCAACATAAAGCACTCTTAGAGAAAAAGCCTACCATAATCAGCTTGCTCAGTCTGCTCTTATGTGCAGAAGGCCAAAACGACCCCCATTGTGTAGCAGGTCGTGTGGCCAGTCCAGGCTCTTTCGAGTCAACTCATGTGCAAGAACGACTCAAACATCCAGGGAAAGGGTTCCACAGAATGGGCTTGCTCAGTATGCTCTTCCGTGCAAAGAGCTCAGCCTCAGGGGGACCCCCTCGGTGTAGGGGGTAGTGCTTCCAGGTGGTTAGTGGGAACTGGGGGTTGGCGTTTGTCTCCCCCATAAGATGGTTCGCTGTGTTCACATAAATAATAGGGCGGTGTTTCGCCTGCTCGTCCTTCTGCGATTTGAGGGAATCAGGGGAGTGTGGGGATGGAGACACGATAGGAGGAATGAGGCTCATACATGGGAACAAAATGGATGATAGACTCAAGTGTGGGGTAGAATCTGGGGTCCAAGGACCAAAACGGGGAGTAGGGAGGGCGATATGGGGACTGAAGATGACGGAATGGGGGCCGGAGAGGTCGGAATGAGGGATGAAAGGGGGTGGTATGGGGAATGAGGTGAGACGGTGGAAGGTGAGGAAAGGTGACAGAGGATCGAAGGGGTGAGAATACAACAGGAAGAGCAATGCAGAGTAGGGGAGGAATGGAGTGAGGAAAACATTGATGCAATAACAGTTTATTTGCTGATTCCACAGAAGAACAGATGGTTTGGAGACTAAACTATAGCAAGACTTTTGCTGAGCCAAGCTGGCAGACTATTAATTTCCAACCCCCCTTCTTCCTATTTAACTGATCGAGTGCCAAAACGTCCACAGTTTAAAGGTGGAAGGTACTTGAGCACCTCGATTCTACCGAACAGGTTAAAAACTGATCTATCTCATAGGGTATCTCGTCAATGTATTGATAGACGAGAGCAGGGTCGACTCTAACACGGTACCATACCTGCAGGTCCTCATAGGGCAGGTCCACAGTGTAGTGATGGAAGAGAGAGAGCCACCACGCTAGATCGGCCTTGTTGCCCTGCGACCATGTCTGCTCATCGGCGGACAACAATCAGATGCATAAAAGTCACAAAAATAGTCGTCAGATGCATAGCAGTCAGATGCATAGCAGTCAGATGCATAGCAGTCAGATGCGTAGCAGTCAGATGCGTAGCAGTCAGATGCATGTCAGGTGCATGTCAGGTGCATGTCAGATGCATGTCAGGTGCATGTCAGATGCATGTCAGGTGCATGTCAGATGCATGTCAGGTGCATGTCAGATGCATGTCAGGTGCATGTCAGATGCATGTCAGGTGCATGTCAGATGCAGGTGGAGTAAAAGCAGAGTCGAACATCATCAGTTCGGGGAGCAGCATTGCTGATGCTCCTAAGAAACGCCAACCGCACCACGCTCAAATAGTTACAAGACAGTTGCTGCCAATTTTCTCCCATGTTCTCTTGCCATCCTGAGCAAAACGCTCTCCTCATACTCACTCTTGTTCCTCTCACCCAGTTTCGATCCTCACTGGTCTGCCATTTTTCGCTCGTACTCCTGTCACACACCTCCTCGTCCATTCTCTCGACTTCTCGCCTCGTCCGCACTTGTGCTCCAGTGGCTGGTGGTCCCCACGCTCCTCTACGTGTCCACAGAGGCTCTAATCGCAACCTATCTGACCCTTGAGCTGACCGCAAGCCATTCTCGCTACTGTCAGTTTCCGCTCGTCCTCACCCTGTCGCATTCTGCTTTCTCTCTCCTCCCTCCTCACCTGAGTGCCGCAGTGGTCGGTGGTGCGTACGCTCCTCCATGGCTTCGTGCTGGGGTCCAATGAGAGGTTGACACCTGTTATCGTTAAATAGTCAATGTCAGCAGTTCGTCCAAACCTGCAGGCAAGGCACAGAGACAAAGAGGGTAATGATGTCAAGAAGATGGAAATACTGTGTGATAATAGATTGACCTGCTCCAGGGAATCAAACATAAGCAGCAAAACAGCGGAGCAACGAGGTATGATGTGAAACAGGTTAGCTGGAAGGGAGGGAGGCGTACACTATCTTGTTGAATGACATGTAGAAGAAGGTGGCCATGTGGTTGACCTGATAAGGGTTCAGCCGACGATAGCTCGCCTCGCCCTGTCAGTTACATAAAAAACGAACAGAATGTCAGATGCGTCAGGCGAAAGGTGCTGTCAGTAAACATGATACGACATGTCACTCGTCCAGTTACATGCTATATTCTGGAGAAGAAAAAGAGTGTACCAGTCCAGCGTACACTGCATCTGCTTCTTACTTCTCCTGCCTCACCTCGTACACCACCACCAGCTCGCACAACAAGTCATCACCGTTATCCCCGTTAACAGCTTCACCCCTCGCCTCTACTCCCTTCTCTCCAACATCTCCTACTAACTCTGGCGCTAGTTCCACTCCATTCTCCCCCTCACGTTCCCCGGTTTTCCCGCATGCTCCTGCTGCTTCTTCCCATTCCACGAAATCTTCCCCCCCTGCCATATAGTCCGTCCATTCCTTTCCGCACGAGCGGGCTTCCGCCTCCTCCCCCTCCTGCACGAAGCGGAAAAACACGCGCACGAGCGCGTGCCCCGCGCGAATGTCGTGCGTCGGATGCAGGAAAATCGGCGCGCACTGTCGCAACCAGTTCCGTTCCAAACTCGTTCGCCGTGCCAACTCCGCCGATTCCGTCCCACCTGGCGTACTAAGCTTCGCCGCCTTTTCAGAATAAGTATCAGCTGAACCTTGTAGTGACAAGCCTTGCCTCGAAAAGTCTGTCTTCGATTCGCGATTGTCAATGGACATATGACCATCTGTGCGGTCTGGGATAGCAGCTGGCGTAGCCTTCGCGGTAGCTGACCCGTCAGGCTGGCTGACGTGTCCGTTGGTGCTTGGATAGGAGCCATTGGCGGATGGTTGAGAAGATTCGGAGAAGCCGACAGAGGAAGAATCGTTTCCGTCGGTCATTGTCAATTTCGAGATACTTCGTCGGTGTATTAGCAATGACTGGCTTTCCCACTCTCTATCAACAGATGGATATCCCATATAACAAGGCGGAAACGAGAAACTGCTACGGCTGCTCTTGTGATCAATAGAAACCGTAAGCGACTAAACGACTAGTGAGTGACTCATCCCTGCGGTTCGCAGTTACGCGCGTAATGGATGATAAAACTTCCAATCAGGAACGAAAGAAACTTCGGTTAGCTATCAAACAAGTATTGACTAATAATATATTTTCCCGGTTTAAGCTAGCCACGGGAATATGAGGCGTTGAAGTATTTACAGCGGCGACAGGGATTCTCGCTGTCAACAATGGGAGTCGGTGGAGTCCTCCCACTAGTAGTACGTGACTGCTTACTATCGTCTATGTTCTACGACAGAGTATAACGTATAAAGGCTTTTTATCTGTAATTGGTGTCTAGCTGGAGACGAGCTCTCTGCAGCTTCCTGTCATGAAGTGTCTGCGTCCTAGGGAGTTCTAGTGCGACAATATCTCTGCGATGCCGCACAACACGCTGTTTAATCAGGCGTCGGCTTCGGCTATCAACCGTCACAGAAACCAGTCCTGAGAATAATTTAGACGTCGTAAGGACTTCTGAAATCCCAATGATGTGCCTACTTTCTCGGGTGCAGGAACGGCAACTTCACCAGAGCCTGCAGCAACATTCCCGAGGAATGCACGCGCGTCAGCGATACACAAAGCTGGTCAGGCACTTCCGTTCCAGTGCAGACCGCAACGAATCTTTTCACGATGGAGAATGGCGAAGTGTGGTTTTGAAGAGTCAATCACTCAGAGCAGCGTACTTCAGGTTGGGAGGTGTTTGCTTTTCCAGAGACATGTGGCTGAAAAGCGACGGCGACAGAACGAAATGTGACTGGCAGCCGTCAAGAGCCCTCTACTTGACTTCGGCATATGTGACTGGGATGAATTTCATCCTTCGAGGTGTTATCGGTTTCACAGCTGAGCCGAGACGTGGGTGTCAGACGAGCGCCTCGGGGTAAACCCTCCGAGCCAATGAGAGGCTCTCATCCCAAGCAAGAAAGAAGTTCCCGTTGGTGCTACGCATCAACCCTACCACGGTGAGGAGCTAACCATTCGGTCGATGACGGTTTGTGGAGATACATAGTCTTCAACATTGTAATTCTGTCTTACACCAAAATTATGGTGAGAAAATGTAGTGATACCGCATCCTCCACCTCTCCCTTATGTAGTGATTACTTCATTATTTGTGTTTCTACAAACGTATAAATGTATGTGGATGCAAATTATCGTGGGCTTGTGGCCAGGAGGCTTCACTGGTTTAGACTCCAGTTTTGACCCTCAGTCAAAAGCAACAAAATATCTTGTATGGTAGTTAGAAGCAACAAAAAAATCATGGCTCATATATTCTCCAATCCTCTTTGGCCTGCCATGTGCCAAGCAGGGGCTAATTTCCTCGGAGGTTGACGTCTATGGATCATCCATTAGGTCGGAGTGTTCTTATCATCGCCAGTGAGATTTGATCCCCGACTGCCAAATGACAATCGGCCATGTCTAGGTGTCGCAAGTGAATATTTATACTAGTTTTGTTGTTGCTGCGGTTCTGCTCTGTCCATTCTTGCCTGCTATGGCGGCTCCCGAAGATCAGCGAACCGTGATTCTTGTGAGTCGGTTAGGCCAGGCGCGCACCGTGGATGCGACGCGTGCCGTTTGCGACGCCTGTTGCTCTTCTCTTCCACCCTCCGTTGTTCTTCTTTTCTCTGAGCCTTCTTGCCCCTCCTTCCCTCACCGGCTTATAACCCGTCGCTATGGTCGCTATTGCTGCCAATTCTGTTCTACTCCTGTATTAATTTCCTTCCGAGCGCCTCGAGGAAATTTTTGAGTCCTTTAGACATGACTGCGTCGTTCCCAGGCGAGGCAATCTTTCTGGTTACGCGCTGGCCTCTGTAGTATCATATATTTCTAGTCACTTCCTGCCTCGTCCACCCACGTTTGATCTACGGATTTTGAACTGTTGAACTCGCTATGCGCGCGTGGGTATACAGTGAAATGCTCACCGAAACCGAATCCTAACTCGCGTGCCATCTCGTCGCGATACTGATGTGCGCGGGCAATGGCAGGTGAATGTTTTCGTTGACCGAACAGTGAAGCTTCTCAACGCCTTCGCCGCGTCGTGCGAATCTAAACTCCAATCTCTTCACCTGTGAGTCACCTCGCTGCATCTGTGAGTCACGTTGCTGCACCTCGCTGCAGCTCTACCTGTGAGTCGCCTCGATCGCGCTGAGGTTTCTCTTGATGCACCCTGCCCGGCAAGTCGTGATGGGTTGTTGAGCCGCAGTCTTTTTTTTTTTTTTTTTTACTAGGCGTCATACCATGTTGATCCAGCGTCATAAAGTGAATCAAGCGAGCCCATTGACGCTCCTGGTGCTTACTTGTTACTGTTGTTGAGGAACAGTTGAGTTTTACCATTTAAGATGAACTGCACCAGATAACTTGCAGCACTTGTGGCGTATGCATGTGTGCAGCAGCACATGCATGCTTGCTGCGGCAGGCGCATGCTTGCAGCAGCGTCTGCAGAACTAGTCACATGGATATCCAGCACTAGTGTCACCTTCTCCCCTTTAATCCTCACCCTTTCCTGCTTCACCTTCCCCTCTCGCTCTGTCACCTGACATGTTTCCTTCCCTTCGTCTTTCGTACCTCGTTTATCCTCATTCCCCTCCCCCTCCCGCTCACTCCTCTTCTTTCCCATTCCAATCTTCCCCACCCCTCTTTCTCCCCCACTCCCGCCCACCCTCACCTCCTACTCCCCCACTCCCGCCCACTCTCACCTCCTACTACCCCACTCCATGGTCCCGTCCCTCCCACAAACATCATTGGCGGTCGTTTCTGCCATCCGATTTGCATCCTGCGATCACCTATTGGTTGGTATTTGGAAGCAGCCGGTTGGTGGAAATTGACACACGTGTCACTCTCCTAGAGGCTCAGATCAGAAGCACTGGTCTGCACACAGCCAATGGGAGATCAGCACATGCCAGGGAGGCGCACCAGAGAAACAAGAAGTTAACCTCAGCAGCCGTCGAATCTACAGTAACTTCTACGGTGATCTCCGCTGCTACAAACGCAGCTGCTACTAACAAGTCTGTTGCACACGCACCAGCTACAGAGCCGCCAATTACAGCTGCAACTGGAGAAGTTTCCCCTGCAGCCGATTCAGCTTCAGCAGGCGAGAAGCTCACACCTCTACTCGATTCAAATGTCCCCGCTATAATAACACCGAGTTTAGTCACACCTCGCAGTGGTGAAGGGCAGAATCAGCCAGCTGGTAAGCCTGCCAGCAACGCAATATCGGTGGAATTGGGAGAAGCTGCAGCAGCTGCAGCAACTGAAGCAGACGCAGCAGCAGCGGTGGTGGTGGATAGACCAGCAGCAACAGCCACAGGAGGAGAAGCACCTGATCAGGAGTAACTCTAGCAGAGACTTTTTTGAGGCGCCTCAAAAGGAAGCACCTGATCAGGAGTAACTCTAGCAGAGGCTGTTGCCAGAGTACACAACGCTACAAACCATCTTACATATATTTGATTGGAAATACAGCAGTAATCATCAGCAGAAGCAGCCACAACAGCAGTGACAGGAAAAGCAGCAGCTGATGACACAACACAACACAGCAGCATATGGGAGGTGCACTGTATATGTACTCATAGTCTCATATGCATTCCCTTCAGCTGGTAAATAGATAGTGGTTCCATGGTTCACTGCATAAGGACCAATACATGGCCCTAAGATTTTCTCATGTATGCTGTGCTGTAACAGTAGTATAGTTGTGCACCACTCTGATTTTCATTGGCTTAGAAATTGCAAAGAATGAAACAATAATGGACACTCCCATTTGTGGAACTTGTGTGGCGATCCCTCTTTGTTAACTGATCAACGCTGCTCTATCTTGACTTCAAAACCACATGTGAAACACCAGCAAGTATTATTTGTACACCAGGAAGGGCTTGGGATGGCAGAGCGCAGCAGCGAAGGCCCTGCCTGACTCGGTTGGCTGCGAGAATGCGATCTGAGTCGATGAGAGCTGGCAGGCATAGGCGAAGGAGACGCTGCGGTAAAAGAGGATGGTCGGGTAGTGGAAGGAAGAAGGGGGTGTGGGGGAAGGAAGTGAGAAATGGTCAGGCGCAGCAGTGAAGGCCCTGCCTGACTCGGTTGGCTGCGAGAATGCGATCTGAGTCAGTGCGAGCGTGCAGGCATAGGCGAAGGAGATGCTGCGGTGGAATGGGGATGGCAAGACAATGGGATGGGGGGATGGAGAATTGAGATATGACCAGGAAAGGGGGTGCGGGCAAGAAATGAGAGGAATCGATCCTTGAGAGAGCAAGCATAGGGGAAGGCGATGGTGCAGTGGAATGAACACCAAGCAAGAGCGGCCAGGGGCGGGTTGGTTGATTGGTGGTTGACAAAAGGGAAAAAAAGTGGGGAGTTGGTTGGTGAGAGCGAACGAGACGCTGTGGTGGGGGGGATGTGTGGCAGGCAGTGGGAGGGGGGGAAGGAGGTGGGGGAGGAGGCAGTGAGAGATGGAGAGGCAAGATGGTGAGGCAAGATGGAGAGGCAAGATGGGCAGAGTGAGCAGGCAAAGGTGATGTACTCGGCAGGCAAAGGGGGTGGGGAGAGGGGGAAGGAAGGTGGCCAATCAAGCGGGTGCGAGGGGAAAGTGAGAGGAAAGACGGGGAGAGTGAGCAGGCATGGACAGAGGAGATGCTGCAGTGGAGGGGAAGTGATGAAAATGGGTTAGGGTTGGAATGTAGTAGGATGAAACAAAACATTGTGAATGTGAGATGGAGAGCATGGGAAAAGTGAGAGCGCATGGGAAAGTGAGAGAGCATGGGAAAAGTGAGAGCGCATGGGAAAGTGAGAGAGCATGGGAAAAGTGAGAGCGCATGGGCGAGGTGAAAGAGAGTGTGATCGGCTGCTTGTGGGGAAGGGATGAATGAATGGGAAGAGAGAAGGGAGAGGGATAATGTTGCATGGAAGGTACAGAGGATGAACACACACAGACATGCATGCGACATGCATGCATGCATACACATGCATACACATGCACACTATCACAAGTACATGCGTGCGCGCGCGCGCTCATGCACGCACATGCACTCACACACATGCGTGCAACCCACCTCACAGCCTGCATCATCTCAGTTGCAACATTGCTCCTGCTGTGCGCTGGGTGCACCCATATTGCCGTCACCGCGTGCGCACGCACAACCCTACCACCCTCCCTCCCACCCCTCCCCCACACACTCACACACATGCGTGCAACCCACCTCACAGCCTTCATCATCTCAGTGGCAACGCCTCTCCTCCTGTGCGCTGGGTGCACCCAGATGGCTCTCACTCCACACACTGCTGCACACATCTCGTCCTCTTGCTCCTCCTCTTCAGGAGCCTCACGAAACAGCTGCTCTGCTGGTTGCTCTGCTGGTTGCTCTGCTGGTTGCTCTGGCGCTTCTCTTGAGCCACACACCCTTGCACTTGGCTGGTTCGAAGCTGCACACAGCAGGCCTTCTTGCATCTCTTCCTGAGGAGCCCCACGAATGTGATGCTCCGCTGGTTGTTGTGGCGCTTCCCTTGAGCCACACACCCTTGCACTCGGCTCGTTTGCAGGTTCAGAGGCAGAAGCGTGCGGTGTGCAGCGTGTTTTGGAGTTGCATAAGGATACGTTGTGAGGTGTGACCGTGCCTGCTTCAGCACCACACGGTGTGGGGCTGTATGGTTGACCGATGCATGGCTCGAGAGACCCTGATTGACCTTTCGACGGCGTTTCTGCTGCTGCTGCTGCTGCTGCTGATGGTAGTTGTGGTGTTGCTTCTGTTGCTCCTGTTGATATTGACACCGACTCTGCTCCTGCTGCTGCTGCTGCTGCGGCTGCTGTTGGTGCTTCTGCTGCTCTTGCTGTTGTTGCTGCTGCTTCTACTGCTCTTGCTGTTGCTGTTGCCGCCGCTGCTGTTGCTGGAGTGCAATCTGGTGAATGCGGTGGGATGGAACATGCCTGTGCTGGGCGCGCCTGGGACAACTTTTGAGGCGCCCCAAAAGCCGCCGCTGCTGTTGCTGGAGTGTGATCTAGTGAATGCGGTGGGATAGAACATGCCTGTGCTGGGCGCGCCTGGGAAATGGGTTGGGCCACAAGGCACCCCACCAGCTGCCTCCCACGAATGTATAGATACGCCTGTGGGAGAGAGAGCAATGAGGAGTGGTGAAACCTTTGAGTTGACAAAATACACCTCGCTACAATGGCACATGGGATGTAACGTGCTAATGCTGGGTGTGCCTGGGAAATGGGTTCGGCCACAAGGCACCCCACCAGCTGCCTCCCACGAATGTACAGATACGCCTGTGGGAGAGAGAGCGAGGAGGGATGGGAATAGTGTGGGGAGAGGGACGAGGGATGGGGAGAGTGTGTGGGGAGAGAGGGACGAGGGAGGGTGTGCGGGAGAGTGAGAGGAGGGACGGGGAGAGTGTGTGGGGCAAGGGATCGTTACGGTGTGTAGAAGTGGGGAGGGAGGGTTAGAAGGCAGGTTTAACACCACCCAGCAGAGCAGCCACGTGGGTGGCAGGATCCTCACCTTCCTCAGGCCGCCCAGCAGAGTAGCCACGTGGGTGGCAGGATCCTCACCTTCCTCAGGCCGCCCAGCAGAGCAGCCACGTGGGTGTGACGCTCATGCCCCTCTCCAACACTCCCACCTGAAGCCTGGTGCCGTCTCGTTCAAGACCAGCACAGCAAGACAACACCCCTCCCCTCCCTCAACACACCCGCTGATGCTCACCTTCCATTGGCCGCCCAGCAGCCACGTGGGGTTCACACCCATTGCCCTCTCCAGCACTCTCACCTGAAGCCCGGCACCGGCTCGTTCAAGAAAGAACAGCTTGAAACAATCCTCATCCCACTCCTCTGTCCCTCACCTGCACTTGCCTCTCCGCCAATCCAACCTTACCCCTCATCCAAAACAGCCTTGGAATTCTCCGGATTCACCCCCAACCCCACCCTCCTGCTGCTCACCTTCCATTGGCCGCCCAGCAGCCACGTGGGGCTCACACCCATTCCCCTCTCCAATACCGCCGCTATTTCTTGCATCTGGATGGTACGATAAGGGGATAGGGCGCAGAGAGGCAAGGCGAAAGAGGTGAGAAAATTGCCAGCAGCAGCCACGTGGGGCTCACGCCCATTGGCCTCTCCAACACCGCTGCTATCTTGTGCATCTGCATGGTATGAGAAGGGGATAGGGCGCAGAGAGGCAAGGCGAAAGAGGTGAGAAAAGTGCCAGCAGCAGCCCCGTGGGACTCACACCCATTGCCCTCTCCAACACTGCCGCTATTTCATGCACCTGGATGGGATAAGGAACACAGGTGTGGGGGGGATTGAGTGCATAGATACGGAGAAGGAGAGATGAGAGATGTGTTAGCAGAAAAAAGTGGGGAGGTAGAGATATTCGCGTCCATTTCAGGTGTGCAGTCAAATTGTCGAGAGGAAGAAGGTGAAAAAAACAGTGAGGGCCTCAGTTGCAATCAGCAACAGTGAGGGCCTCAGTTGCAGTCAGCAACAGTGAGGGCCTCAGTTGCAGTCAGCAACAGTGAGGGCCTCAGTTGCAGTCAGCAACGCCATCGCGAGCATCGCAGAGCAGGGTGCCTGTGGTGCCAGGCATCCACATGCTACTCACCAGTCCGCACCGCACTGCACCGCAGCACAGTGCACTGCAGTGCACAGATAGCACCGCTGTCAAGCGCACAGTAACGCACCTTTGCCAGCTGCACAGCTGTGCAGTCTGCGTGGGTGATGAGCACTATTCTGCCTGCTGCGGTCTCTGCGGCCCCTGCTCCTGTGGAGCATGCGTTGCGTGTGTCCCTAGTGCTCTCTGAAACAGTGTGCACAACGCGCTCGTTCCTCCATCCCTGGACTCACACACACACACATGCGCAAAGTCACCGGGAAAGGGGAGGAAAGAGTGGGTTTTACTCTGCTGCACCTATTTGCCTTCACACGCATCTGGTAACAGAAACAAAAATATTATTACCTCGTTCCTCCGTCCCTGCACTCACACACACGTGCCACCAAGAAAGGAGAAGAAAGAGCGGGTATCACTCCGTTGCACGGTGTAACTCTTCACACGCATCTGGTAACATGGTAACAGAAACAATGGATTATTATGCCGACCGTATGTGCAGCAGTCCCTTGCTGTCCCATACAGCCACACATGCGTGCACACACAACACACGCACCCCACACCCTCTTACCAAGAAGTCGTATGCTATCCCAGAGATGGTCGTATGTTTGTTTCTTAACAAATCTCCTGCCCTTCTCTATTGAAATCACTTTTGAGAATTCTCAAAAGTGATTTCAGCTCAACAAATCTCCTGCCCTTCTCTATTGAAATCACTTTATAGAATTCTCAAAAGTGATTTCAGCTCAACAAATCTCCTGCCCTTCTCTATTGAAATCACTTTTGAGAATTCTCAAAAGTGATTTCAGCTCAACAAATCTCCTGCCCTTCTCTCCGCCCGGATGCGGAGCCGCGGAACACTTTTGAGGCGCCTCAAAAGTCGCCCGGATGCGGAGCCGCGGAACACTTTTGAGGCGCCTCAAAAGTCGCCCGGATGCGGAGCCGCGGAACACTTTTGAGGCGCCTCAAAAGTCGCCCGGATGCGGAGCCGCGGAACACTTTTGAGGCGCCTCAAAAGTCGCCCGGATGCGGAGCCGCGGAACACTTTTGAGGCGCCTCAAAAGTCGCCCGGATGCGGAGCCGCGGAACACTTTTGAGGCGCCTCAAAAGTCGCCCGGATGCGGAGCCGCGGAACACTTTTGAGGCGCCTCAAAAGTCGCCCGGATGCGGAGCCGCGGAACAGCTTGAGCCGCCGTTCATGAGATTTCTGTTTTGTGAGAATTCTCAAGAAACATACGCGGAATGAGCTTTCTGGCAAGCACCAATCCACGCACTTGGACCCCGCCTCCCCACTCCTCACCTGAACAGTCACAGTGCCGCAGAACAGCCTGTGGTGTGCGTCGTGTGCTGCTTCGTCCGCCTTGCGCCCCTTGGCGAACACCAACCCGCACACACAGCACGTGTCTCATATATCAAGAGTCTAGGCAACCGCACAGCACCCCCTCTCACCTGGATGGTGACAGTGCCACAGAACAGCTTGTGATGTGCGTCATGTGCTGCTTCATCCGCTTTAAGCCCCTTGGCAAACACGAATCTGCACACACGGCACGTGGTGTGCAGCAGGTCCCTGGTCTAGGCGATCCTACAGCACCCCTCCTCTCACCTGGATGGTTACAGTGCCACAGAACAGCTTGTGATGCGCCTCATGCGCCATCTCGTCCGCTTTAAGCCCCTTGGCAAACACGAATCCGCACACACGGCACGTGGTGTGAAGCAGGTCCTTCTGCCCAAAGTCCAAACACGCCTGCACCTGCCTCCTAAGTCCACTACAGCACCCCTCTCACCTGAATTATTACAGTGCCGCAGAACAATCTGTGGTGTGCATCGTGTGCCATCTCGTCCGCCTTGAGACCTTTAGCAAACACGAACCCGCACACACGGCACGTGGTGTGCAGCAGGTCCTTCTGCCCAAAGTCCAAACACGCCTGCACCTGCTTCCGCTGCCGCTGCTGCTGCTGCTGCTGCTGCTGCTGTTTCTGCTGCGGCCGCTGCTGCAGCAGCTGCTCCGGCCGCTCCGAACCCAGCTGTTCCAGCAGAGTATGGGCCTCTCTCGGACTTGTCGAATGCTCTCTCGGACTTGTCGGAAGCTCCTCCTGCAATCGCAGCGAGTGCGTCTGATCTCGCCCCTCGTGCACACCCTCCTGCCGCTCATCCTCACCACGCCTCTCGATATTCTGCTCCAACTGCCCTGCCTGCTCCCGCCCCTGCTCCAGCCCCTCCTGCCGTGCTTGCTCTTGCTCTTGCTCTCGCTCCTGCTGCCCCAGCCCCTGCTGCTCCACCCGCTGATGCGCCAGCTCCTGCTGTTCCTCAATGCTTCTGTGCTCGTCATCCCCTGTGCTCGCCTCTGCCTTGCGCTTCACCTTCGATTTCCTCAGCCGTTGGATCTCGTATTCATCGTCCACTCGAGGCACATCCGACGGACACGATGCTCCGCCTGACCTCTCCTTCCTGGAGCTATTCCCCTGCCTTAACCAGAAGATCAATGTGGAGGTGCCACGTGGACGTTCTTCTGACGCTGACAACGCAGGAGCCGACATGGCTTTGATATCCGCGATAGAAGCTGTTCTCGTAGGCAGCCTCAAGGTACATCTACTTGGAATGGTTGCTGCGGCTGCTGATGCAACGGCCTTTTTGGTTGTGAAAACGTTGCACGCTTCAGGAGAAAAGTCAGGTGAATCGCCAAAAGAGCGGCCTGGTGTGGAGCTGCCTAGCACATGCCGGAGCGCGTCCCTGCTTCTGAAAGCCAATCGTCATAAAGGTGAGAAACGGTCTGATCATGTTTGACACGGTACAAGCAGGTTCTGGTCATTCAAGACCCAGGAAATTTTGCGGCTGTAAAGGGAGTTGACATGAAAGAATATGCGGATGAATAAAATAAAAGAATCAGGAAACGACGGCCCGTGTATTCCTTCCGCTCTTGCTGTGAACCGTCAACCATCCGCCAAATAACATATTCCATCCGCCTTCTCGCACGCCATTTCTTTCACTCTTGCCGTCAACTATCACTCACCCGCCGTCAGCCTTCACTCACCCGCCATCAACCTTCACTCACCCGCCGACAGCCATCACTCACCCGCCGTCGGCCATCACTCGACGGATTCTCCTATACGTCACAAGGCGGTCCGTCGCTCCAATTGGCTCCTCGCACGTGGCCGACGGCGGCGCGTTGCAGCGGCGATCATCCGAGTCCAAATTCATCAACGCGCGACCCGGTGAGTCGCATGCGCTCCCAGCTCTACACGATTCGCTCCCAAGGTCACACGAGGGGGACTTCGCAGGCATCGGATGCATCGGAGCACCGGAGGATCGGAGTGACTTCTGAGTCAACTCTAACGATTTCTCACGCACCAACTCCGAGTCCGGCGCATCAACGCATCGCCTCAACGCGGCCGTGCACTGAGCCTCTCGAAGCGGACACGATCTGGGATCTCGGCTACTAGGAAAGGGACCGTCTTTATGACTGGAAGAAGGATTTTCGGAGGTTTCAAGGAGTTGGAACTGGCATGTTGGAGCGCCGTGGCACTGAGCCGGGCTTGCACGCGCGGGGTCAGCGGTCGACGGCTTGAGTCGCTTCACCCACGAGTCGAGAGTTCCACGCCGCTCGACCCTCTTTTTCGCCCCAGCTTCCCCCTTCTTCTGCTTCGATGATTCTTTCGGCAATCCTAGGCTCGACGAAACCAGGCGTGACTTCTTGAGGCTCGGCGATTCGAGGTTCGGCGAGCCGAGGCTCGAGTCGACGGCAGAACGCCTCCTCGCTCCCCCATTATTCCCTCCGTCCGAGCCTGACATTGAGGATGCGTTGCGGATCTCCGCGGGGGGATTTTGAGGCGCCTCAAACGACGCTGATTATGCTTTCAGCTTCTCCGCACGGGCCTCGGAATTGTCCGTGTTTCTGCCGTCTAATCGACGGCACAGAACAAACGACATCACGTTCGCATTAAGACGGATGATTGCGGGCTGGAAACCGAATAGAAATGCAAAGCTCTTTGATACGTGTATCTGTCAAACGCTTCTGATCTGTTCAGTGAGAGGACGTGTACAGGCTTGGCTGAGCTACGTGCTCGTGGCGTCGAGGAAAGCTAATACTAGCAGCAATGGGAGCTCGATTCGTAGAAGCAGGAAACCAGGCGGAATCGAACAACAACGGAAACGTTGTGGAACTCACTGAGGGCGGATCCACAAAGTCACTCCAAGGTGCCCTGGGGATTGCCCAGCATTCACACTACAGCTGTAACGTGAGACATTCGAACTGATGTTTCGTCAAAATGGCACGAAAGTCATCAGCTTGGGGTCACAGAGAACATGGCGAGCTCCATCGGAGTAAATCGTTTTCGCCTATGCTCGTTCGACACTTAACAACTTCGACGACTCGTGGTGGAGCATTTGTTCTCAGGAGCTTTCCTGTGACCGAACTTCACATTCGGGAACTCTCCCTGAGAATGTTCGTAGTAACGTCAACATGCGACACGGTTTCAAAATTCCGAATAAACCTCGTTAGTGAAACCTCGACTTCAGCGCGAGTATGACAAAGGAACAGTGGCACCTCAGTTCAGGGACAGGGACTACAACAGTGAGATTATGGTGTTTTTGGCCTTAGGAATGGAAAACCAGGTGGTAGCAAAATCAACCATGCAATCACAAGACATCGATAGGTTGTACTTCAGTGAGGCCAAGCAGTTTGAGTGCGGCTAATACTTGAGAGGGTGTAAGTCAATGAGCCAAAGAAGTGAGGGCGTAAGTCGATATACCAAACACTAGGCTGATCAAAGAGAAAAGGGCGGGAGGCGGGGAGGGGTAGGGATTGAAATAAGAAATCTCTGGAACCACGGTCTAGTATACATCTATGAAAAATGTAAACAAAGCTTAGAAACGAACCTATAAGATGAAAGTCTGATGTAAGTCAGGAAGGAAGTATGTCAGGGAAGAGAAAGCTGTGCTTAGCTCAAGATGCACCACATGCAGCTTGTTGGAAACAATCGTTCCTAAGCGCCTCTGTCGTGTCGAAACACTAAGGCACAAGCGAAGCAAAGCATATCGAGGCACCAGCGAGTCAACCCTCGGAGGTTGAAGTAACCGCTGGAGGTTACGCGAAAGTCAAAGGTCAGCGACCTTTGACATGACAAATGCAGCGCGACAGCAAGGACACACAACTCACTCGTTACAGAGCAGTTGCCCAAGTCGTCACTGTATCGAACCGCAACAGCAACAGTAAAGTAGTTATAACTGTGTCTCTTCATATTCTCTGTATTCATATATAATCTTGTATCTCTTTGCTTTAATCAATTCACTTTGCCCTCACATACTAGTGCAAGGTGGTTCACAAACTCTTTATTAAACGCTTCCGCTATTACATCAACTCTACCCAGAATTCACCTCTGCAAAGATCCTAAGGGCTTTTTCAGCCCAACATGGTATGAGAGCTATCAGGGGGAATTCAACTCATATACCAACAGTGTCAATCAGCATGGCTACACAAAAGGGAAGGAGCAACTCCAACGGATCCCAGGGCACTACTCCTACTCCACCTCCAGCCTCTAACCTACAGACAGAGGAGGGCACGACAACAAGACACAGAGCAACATCTACTGAGACTCCTGCAAATAAACCTGCGGACTTCGACCAGAGCATGATGGAGAAGTTCTTCTCCTTCATGTCCTTCTACGAGCAACACCAGCAATCGGCACCTGCGCAGTCACACAACAGCAACAACAACGGAGCAACACCCATGAGTCTCGATGGCTCATCGTATGCACGAGGAAATCAGCAACAGCAGCCTACGTTTGCTTCGTACGAGCGCGGATCCATCAGCTTCATGCCACACCCACAGCCCTCACCTGGACAAGAAAAGCAACTGGACGCACTACAAGTTCAGTCGCAGTTCGCACACGTTCTGAAGATGCAGACGTCAAGACCCTTCGATGGAAAGGATTTCTTCACCTGGTCGTTCGAGTTTGAGCTGATGATGGAAGGCGCGCAGATACTCGGGTTCTTCGACGGGTCCCTGCCATACCCAACAAACGGCACACAGTACGAGAAGCAGCAGTACACCTATCAGTCAATGATGGCGTACACGATCCTACTAAGAAATATCACCCCGACTCAACAGCAGAACATAAGGACTTACCGAGGTTACGGTAACTCCGCGGAGCTCGCGTACAACCACCTGAAGAGCCTGTATCAAGCAACAGACAGTGTAAGTCAAAGTCGGTTAATGGCGCAACTGACAACGGTTGAAATGAAACCACGGGAAAAAGGAATGGCGTATATCAGTCGATGTCGCGAATTGCGCGACAAGCTTCTTCGATGCGGAGGGTCGATTTCTGAAGACGCCTTCGTGACAATCATTATCGGCGGCCTTGGTCCTCAATGGCGCGCCACAAAAGCCATCCTCCGAGCTCACGGAAGAATCTCCGAAGCAGCGCTCTGCGCCAAAATCCACGCCGAGCAGCAAGACATGGACCTACAAGAAGAACGACATAAAAAGAAGACGTCAGCACCAGAGTTCGCGCTCCACACCCAGCGACGCTACAACAACAACAACATCCGGCAGCAACAACTGAAGCCAGTACCTCCGTTCTGCCACATCTGCAAAACTTCAGGACACCCGCGCACGCACTGCCCGAATCGTCAACAATCAACAACACCACAGCGGCA